TTTGCCTCTTGCTCTTTTTTAGACTAAAGTACTACCTATGAGTTGGTTTTTACCTTTTTTGCGATGAGTGTAGTTTCCCTATTCCTTCCTCGTTCGACACACAATGACAGACTGAGGATAGTAAGACTCAAATGTGCATGGACATTATTATAGTACTTCTTATATTAAAGAATATGACAGTTCTCAGGTTTCATATAACAATTTGATCTGGACAACAGAAATAAGGAAAGCGTATAGATCAATATAGATTAGTTATATTTTAAGAAGAAAAAAATACAAACCTGTGTTCCCAAATACTTTTTTTGCTTTATTTCCACAAAAATTACTTGTGCTTGCCAACTCGTACTCACTAAGAAGACTTTCTGCTTCCTCTACATTTTGCACAAGTCCAAAGCGTTCAGACAGTTTGATTTTAAGTAAAGAAGTCGCTGCTGAAATGTCAATACTTTCCATATGTATAAAAATATGTGCTTGATCTTATAAGAACAGCTTACCAGCGGAAACATAAACAGAAATTTAACTTCGTTTGTATTGTGTGGTGATGTACAATATGCAGAGACTGTTTACTATTTTAAATTATGCGACGTTCTAGTGCCTTGCGCTTAAGAGGTATCGGGAAGCATGGACCAAAAACGGGGTTTTTTGCTTTCGAATTTTATCTTTTTGTTTTCATCTCATAAAACAAACCAAGCAATGTTTCAATTAACTTCTTATGACCCTGTCTTTTTCTGACATTTATAATTAAAGACAACACTAAACATGTTTACACCAATTTTATCGGTTTATATCTTTCTGATTTAACTCTCCCATTTACTGTTTCTCATGTATCACGAGCAAACCATCCATATGTTTCATGGAAAACAAACAAGGATTATGTGGTTCCCTTAATTAACATGCAACGCTCTAGTGCTCAACTATTTCGGGGTATCGGGAGGCATCGACCGAAAATGGGATTGTTTGGTTTTCAAAATTTGTCTTTTTCTTTACAAGAATTCTTCTCATAAAAAAAACTAGAACGTCCAAGGATACTTCAAAGGTTCAAACAACTTCTGCCTTTTTGAACTATAACTTAAACAAACACTAAGCATGTTTATACGTTTTTTACTTATTACCTTTTACAACGTAACTTTCTCATAACTCTCTCGTGATGAACGAGAGCCTCCTTATACAATATGACTCTTTCATCATGAACGAACGCATCCATGGGCTTCACGGAAAAAAGGGATTATGTACTTTGTTATAATAGTTTCTACAAACATAACATTTATTAAGCTAAGAAATTTGAAAATAAATATATTTGAGTTATTAGGAAATGACAAGTCGAGAATTCATCGATCATACTCATTCCAATTGGTCTCGAACAACCATGACATTTATAATTTTGACCATCCAAGCCTTTATCAAGGACTATATTGTTAATTAACGACAGTAACTTCATACGTCGTTCTTGCTGAACACCTTCAGCTGAAGTAGGATCATCAATAATCTGTTATATATAAAAACATAATTTATCCATAGAATTATAGCAAAGTTACGATGGACAGATGAGAGTTATTAACGCTATAAAACTTAAATTCAATATATCGTATAAAGTACCTCAAATCCCGACGATTTCTCGTATCGAAAGGATTCTAAAGTAAAGATGAAAATTAAGATGAGAAATTTCGAAGAATTGAAACTAGAGAATTTTTCAACAAAAAAATGTTGAAAATACCTGTACTACCACAAGATTCTTTAATGTCTATGCTCTAAAATAATAGTCATAAAAACGACAATTTCAAAAAACATAAAAAAACTAAGTATTTGTAACATTGGTGAAAGATACAGGATAAACATGAAACATCATCAGAAGACGATGGAACGAGACCATAACCATTTCATGTGAGCTTCTTCCTAACAACGTTTGCGTAATCCGTTAGCATACCATGAAAACTAACTTCTGGTTTAGGCGACGCTTTACTAGCAACCTCCTCAACGTCTTCAGGACAATTAACGTCTACTGAACTAGTGTCACAAGGCTCAGTGACGATGACCAACTACTAGCCATACCCAACATGTTACCTATGTGTCGCTGTATTTCCTACTTTTTAGAGGAGAAAGACCGCTGAGATTATCAGGATGTTTCATTTCAAGAGTGGGGATGTTCACACCTGAAGAAATGAATAAATATGAATGTGTGCTAGTGCCAATATGTGACATGTAAGGGTGGAAGCACTAAATTTTTACTGTTTCGTGACGCAAAGGCCAACCTGAGCCAACTCCATAATCATTTAAAAAATATAGGCTGCATTGGTGGCTCATTGCATACAATATTAGAGCAGGCAAACTCTATGTGTTATGCAGTATGGGGTGGCAAAAAAGGGAAGTTGCATCTATTATACGAAGGTATATGACGTACATAACAATTTACTTGAAGAATGAAGTGTATCATGTATCTAACATGTTGACAAAGTGAATGTTTCTAGCAGGTCTACACAAATCATTTTTCTTGTGAAAAAGATATTTTCAGCATGCGAGGCAAGAGCAAAGATGGCCAGAAGACATTGCTCGAATTTCCCAACCTATATATGCCGACGTAAGTACTTATCATTTACAATGGCAAGTACTTATCATTTACAAAGGGATAACTTAACTATTGACGACAGGTGATACAACAAGCAAATGGTTATGACTGTGGCATATTCGTGACAGAATTTGCGAGAAGAATAACAGAGGGGGTAAAACTAAAAACATTACACTTCACACTAATTCACAATGACAATAGACACCCACACATTACAACTGAAAACATCACACCTTAATCACACCTTTTGCAAGGCAGAAGTAAAAACAAAAAAGGGTTTTGTGTATAACTGTGAATATAACATGTCACAAGCAGTGAATAGTGCAGTTACTATTTGATGCTACTTCTATGATGACTTGAAAAATGTTTTCTAATAATAAAAAGTCCATCACTGTCATCTTTACAAATATGTGCAATGAGAAAATTTTCTTTTACAAATACTCAGCTGTTTAAAAATAAAAATGAAACAAATTTATTTTATATTCTGTGAGGTTCTTTTACCACCTTTTAAATTACATATGTACAAGAAACAAAATGTTGCCAAACTCATTTAATTCAATGGAATAATGATAAAATAGAAATTGCAAGTTTCATTATATTCCATCGTACATGAATTTAATAGGCAGCACGGGTATGATTTTCCATGACAATAGGCACAGAAATAAGGTGAATTTTCTTCACCACAAGTAGATCTCTAACAAAATCCTTTATCAGCATGTCACCATCACATTTTTTAGCAAGTTTATAACCATAGTTTAAGACTTTTACACTCCAAGATATTTTCAGGTACAAGTCATTTTAGGTATCTGATAGCTTGTTCAATAAATAAGTTTCTTTTCAATGTTTTAACATAAACAACAATAACAGCAATGACGCATGTTTAACTTTTAAAGCTGTAACTATCACAAATCATTTTGTAACATCAAGTCTGTTGACAATTTATTTGTATTGTTTGGAGCACAGATTTGGTCAGTACATGATCAGGACAGTGAGTTCAAAAAAAATAAATTATATATTTTTAAATTATTAATTACTTACTTCATGGAGAAACTTATATCAAAAATCATTTTATTAATAGGACAAAATGGTTTTTTTATCTTGTTGGCCATAATGGTGGACTGATTGTAATTTTACTTTCAATACAAACCTAGAGTTTATAAAGTCTTCGATACAATAATATAAATAAAATGCTATTAAACAAAATCATATTAGTAATGGTTTTAGTTTTTTCTTTTATTTGCTTTTTCCAAGCAATCTTGTCTTTTTTTCATGAAAAAAAGTAATTAATACCAACGTGATGGGAAACTTTTATATTTTTCATTATCTCCTATCGTTATACACATAAACATACTGTGATCCCTATTCCATTATAATTTGAGATATAAACTTTTTAAAATAATTATTTCATGAAAAAATTTTGCCTGGCGATCCCAGAATGCATTGCAAAACCATTGTATATGCTATTCTAAACTTTACCATTTACGCTATTGGGCATATGGTTCGTTGTATGGTTTGAAAAATTTGCTCTTTAAATTATTCATGACCACATGATTTAGAAGTTCAAATTCGAGAATTAGTGAGAATGAAAAATTATATAAATTTATATCCAAACCTCCATTCATGGTAGTTTTCGTTAAGTTATGACACCATACTATTTGATTTGATTCCCAAACTAATTTCTCTCCCAAAGAAGAAATTTGACTTAGGGACTAACCAAATTTAAAATTGATTCTAAACACCAGTGATATTTCAGTAATCGAATCTACATTTTTGGTAAACCACACCAATCCACTTTGACCTAAAAGTATTGACCACCTGCGTAGGCTATAGCATATGAAATAATGAGAGCTTTGCAGGTGCACAAAATGGAGCCGTGAAAAGAATGTATTCTTAAGAAATTCCACCCACTTAATTATTTAATAAATAAACTTCTATCGAAAGATAAATTTATATACCAGTAACATAATTTGTCCACTTCCAAAGCGCCCTTCCATGAATGGCATCTTAATGAAGTCCTTTCGTTTCATTCAAAATACTCGCATCACTAAATCACTTGATTCTAGTAAATATTCATGAATGGTGATTGCAATTTAATTGCCACGTCGACCGCCATCTTGACACAGCTAACCTAAGACAAGAACTGCGTAGGAGGTCATTATTATCAAAATAAAATTGTAGAATGGTGAATAAAATATCTTTTTCTGTTTTATTTCTGCCAAATATTTAGGTGAATTAGATTATAACGTTACGTGCGTACTTGAACAGGAAAGGATTTCTCTCATATTCATTATTATCCTCCAACTATTGAAATAAATCGAATAACACATACCTAATTAAATATTCGTTCACATTCTACATTTAATATTTATGTATGCTCCGTTGTGTTGTAAACAAGGAAATTTTGAGTCAACTGCTCTGCCTCTGAAAGAAATCAGAAATGTCTTCGTTAAGCGAACGTGATATAAATGCATTGAAAGATGCTATAGATTTGTATGATACTATGGGTGATGGAAAAGTTGATTCTAGTGCTTTAGCTGATATCCTACGAGCGATCGGTGAGAATCCTACAGAAAGCGAAGTTCAGAAATTTCTTGTTCAACTTGATCCTTCTGGAAACAAGCGTATAACCCACGAAGATCTTATACCAATTGCACTTTCTTGCAAGCAAAATCGAGGAAAGTTAAACCTCAAGAATTCGTTGAATGCCTCCGTGTTTTGATAAGGATTGCTCTGGGAATATCAGTTGTGCTGAACGTCGACAAGTTTTGACTACATTAGGAGATAAATTGACCATTGAAGACGTCGACATGTTGACAAGTGGTTTGGAACAGAAAGGACAAGTGAATTACGAAGAATTTGTGCGAAGTGTCATGTCTGGTTGAAACCGAAATCGAAACTTCGAAAACAAACGACTAAGCATTGATATTTAAAACATTTTAATTATCTGTCATCGGTTTTTATTGACTTAAGTTTAAAACTTTTATATTTTCGAACGTGACGTTAGACAGTTTGCTGGTAATTTATTTGTAACCTTTGCATTCAAACTATGTGTATTAAGGTAAACTAACGTATTTATTCATGTTATATACATTTTTGTTTAGGCCCCGATGAAAAATAAACCACGACGTTATCAGCAGTGGCGAGAATGAAGCGAGGAAAAAGTTCTGCAAAATAAAAACAGCTATTCGTAGAACTGGATTTGCCTTCCAAGTGTTTCTCATGTTGCATTTTCTGCTCTTAAAAAACATTTCTAGTTAAAACCATCATGAAGACACTTGAATCATTGTTGCTTTACTTGCTTCCTATTGGTTTGATGGTTCGCCTTCAAAACCGCTTAAACCAAGCCTATCAAGTTATCGAGGACTGTGATTTAGAAGAGCAAGAAAAGAAAGGATACATCTTCTTCCATATGTACGCCATAAGACGCATGTGTAAATACGTCAAAACAGCACAAGGTTTGAAAATCTTTGGTTACAGCCTTCCAACCTTCCAGGCTTTTATTCTGGCGGCCTTTGGTCCGTTTTGGTGTTGTTCTACATGGAATATTTATTCACATCCATGCAAAACAGAAATGAATGACCTCTGAAGATATTCTTTATGAACAACAAAATCTTTTTCAGAAATGGGTAAAGGGGGGGTTGGAGTGGACTTCCAGTGTCTTGCAAGGGTTATCATTTCTTATATCAAAATCAGATTATATAATTTCTTCTCCAATAGTTAATCCTTCCAATGTCCTCAGACTAAAGCAAAAGTTCATAACGTCCAAAATGGTACAATTAAATTCTCGCATTGAACTCTTAAAAAAAGGAACGTTTAAAGTACGTTGTACTAGTTTTTTGTTTGAATTATTATGTAGTGTTTTTATATGCTTTAGTTAAGGATATTGCAAGAGCGATAAACCCTAGAAATATGTATGTACCTACCACATATGATGCAATTTTTGATTATTAACGTAATTTAAAAGGATAGTTAAGGGTAATTAAGAAGTTTCAGGTGTTTTTGAGATGATTTTTGAAAATAACTGTTAGTGGTTTTACACAAGAGTATGGAGTAAACAGAACTTAATGGTAGCAGCAAATGATTCATTTTAGCAATCCTAATAGGATGGGATAAAGGGAAAGACAAAGAAAGAGATTAGTTGGTTTTCAAATAATTATCTTTAGCGAAAATTCATCGTGTTCTTCTGCAGGAATTATTAAAAAAAAAATGGTTTTATTTTACTCTTTACAGTTTGTTTCTTTGCCCTTCGAATGACTTGCAGTGCATATCATTTTGTTGGAAAAATAGCAGTTAATATAAATAGAAGCTACATGCACACTTTAGCTTGATTCAATTCAACTGTATCGACTTGCCAATTTGACTTCACCAGATCCAGATATATGGATAAAACATTAGTCACATGACATTCTTCTATGTAAACGATATCATATCGATGTTAAAGAATACGATAGACAATTAGATATGTTAAATATGACTTGACCACATACCCACTGCAATGTTGTTTTAATAAGTCAAATGGAACTGTTATTCAATGTATATTTCATTCCCCATTTGATAAATGAGAAAAAGATAATTTGACACAAAATACGTTGTAAGACAAAGTAACATATTGTTCCTGCTTGTCTATGACTTTAGGTTTAAAGACCATAGAGGGCCAAACTGCGATATCCAAGTTGATTTTGATAAATAAGAAAGAGAGTCTTGCCATGAAACAACAAATCCATCACAAGTCACAGTTTTTATAATTTATTGTACGAACATTTTACTTGCTAAAACTTACATATTACTGGAAGTCGTTTGAGAAGTTCCTTTCTCTTAAATTTATTCTTAAGTTTATCATACATTACATTACAGATGTAAATTTTTTTTGGGTCTAAGGACATGAGTAGAAAACATTGAGGTGTAAAATAATCTCTAAACATGAAAGAAGATGCCGCTACTATACTGGGGAAATGCCAGTAAATTTGATGATCAATTTTCACATGTTTTATACTTGTTGCGAGGTATGTCATTTTGTACGTTTTATGTAAATTTTCGTGAATTAAAAATACTGTGAAAAGTCCCAAATGGATTGCCAGCTGATGAAAAAATCATTTTACACCTTAATGATTTCTTCCTCTAAATTGTTTTCATCAGTTACCATGTTGGGGCAAAATTCCATACAGTGAAAAGAATTTCTGCTAATTTTATGCTTTGCTGAGCTTCGACACTCTCATGTACTCTCCCAACATGGCTTATATGACGTCAAAAGAAAACACACTATAGCTACGGTTGAATGAAAACAGCCCCAAACATCATTAAATATTTGTTAAAATTGCGTATATATTATTACGAAACAGCGATTTTGTGCACGTTATGATGACAAATTTCCATATTGCATTGAAAAGCGTATTTCGAAAACATTTATCAAACGCTGACACTTGCTGGCATGGTGACCATGTTTAATTTAAATACATATGCATATTTTAAGCTGACAGTCGTTTCAAAACTACCGATGGATGTTATTTATTCATCACGGCATAAATGCTTTTCAAACAACATTATTATTCTAAAATCATTACTTAATAGAAATTTGTACAACATTATTCCAAAATAGGTGGCAGGAGCCTACTTTGAAATACTTTACCACAAAATTCGTTTTCTAAGTCAGAGAGCGAGGGAACTCTCTGACTTAGTAAGAATACCGAATTCAACAGAGTATATATGCTCTCAAAATCCAAGATTTCTTAAAAATCTAAAAGATAGCCAAAGAACAAATTAGCGACACAATAAAACAAACACATAAACCTGAAAAAGACTGAAGTCACTAAGCTACAAGTCAGTGAAACAAATAAAAAATTTTATACCTCATCTTGTTTTTCATCTTGTTCTCCATCAGCATGCTTCCCGTCTCTCCGTCAGCATCCTCTTCGTCGCTCCATCAGCATCCTCTTCGTCTCCATCAGCATCCTCTTCGTCGCTCCATCAGCATCCTCTTCGTGCTCCATCAGCATCCTCCTCGTAACGCCATCAGCATCCTCCTCGTAGCACCATCAGCATCCTCCTCGTAGCACCATCAGCATCCTCCTCGTAGCACCATCAGCATCCTCCTCAGCGCCATCAGCATCCTCCTCGTAGCGCCATCAGCATCCTCCTCGCCATCAGCATCCTCCTCGTAGCATCAGCATCCTCCTCGCGCCATCAGCATCCTCCTAGCGCCATCAGCATCCTCCTCGCAGGACCATCAGCATCCTCCTCGCAGGACCATCAGCATCCTCCTCGCAGGACCATCAGCATCCTCCTCGCAGGACCATCAGCATCCTCTTCGTAGCACCATCAGCATCCTCCTCGTAGCTCCGTCAGCATCTTCCTCGTCTCTCCGTCAGCATCCTCTTCTTTTCATCAGCCTCCTCCTCATCTAAACGAAAAATCTAAAAACAAGTTAAGATTAGGACAGGAAAAAATAATAACGTACTCCTCTATCTTCTTCTTGATCTTCATCTCTTGTACCTAAAAAAAGACTGAAGAAGAAGTTATTTGTTTGATGGAAACAAACAATTGTAAGCACCCACCACTGCCAGGGTTCGCGTTCTTTCACTGTCCGTACGCTCGACATGTCTATAAAAATGCAACAACAATATCATGGCAAGTGATTATGGAGATCGTGCTTTCGCATTGTAATAGTTTTATCATGCTAAAACATTGATATCCATGACTGTACATGATTGAACATGTATGTTAAGTGAACAACTCTTTGAAGATTATAAGACTCGCGGAAAGCTTATCGTTTGAACCGTGCATTGTGTTATAACACCCTCAATGTTATAACACATGCAGTGTTCTGTAACATTGTCAAACGATTTATTACATGCGATATAATTCAAAATACCTAGATAAAAACAAGATAATTAACGAATGTCTCATGCAATATATTCTCTGCTCAACTCTTTTCGATTTCATCCAAAGGTTGTTTAATTATTTCGGTAAGGCACTAAGGTTTATAAAGATTTTGCAACACTCTGCCCGCATGTTGCAATATCAAATGAATTATCTTACATTTATTTCAATTGTATATTCATAATTATTTAATTCCTCGTCTTTCATGTGCATCCATCTTCCATGGATCTTTCATCTTCATCTGCATCCTCTTCCATCTGCATCTTTCTCTGTATCCTTCCTTTGTCTTCCATCGATCCTTCCATCTGTTTCATCTGATCCTTTCTTCTTCCATCTGCTTCCTCTCTTTCATGCATCCTCTCTCCATCTGATCTTCCTTTCTTCCACGCATCCTTCTTCGTCTTTCCATCTGCTCCTCTTCTTTCCATCTGCATCCTTCTCGTCTTTCCATCTTATCTTTCGCCTTTCCACGATCTTTTGTCTTTCCATCCCACGACGCATTTGAGATCCTTCGTCTTTCCATGATCCGATTTCTGATCCTTCTCATTTGATTCTCCATCCGTCTTTCCATCCGATCTCGTCGCCATTTGATTCTCGTCTTTCCATCTGATCCGATCGATCCTTCTTGTCCTCCACATTCTTCGCTCATCATCTTTCTTTCCATCTGCATCCTCCTGTCTCTTCATCTGCATCCTTCTTGTCTCTTCATCTGCATCCTCCTCGTCTTCATCTGCATCCTTCTTGTCTCTTCATCTGCATCCTCCTGTCTTCATCTGCATCCTCCTCGTCTCTTCATCTGCATCCTCCTCGTCTTTCCATCTGCATCCTCCTTGTCTCTCCATCTGCATCCTCCTTGTATCTTCATCTGCATCCTCCTCATCTTAACGAAACATCTAAAAATCAAGTTAAGATTATGACAGGAAAAAAATAACATACTTCTCTATCTTCTTCTTGATCATCGTCTCTAGTGCCTAAAAATAGACTGAAGAAGAAGTTATTTGTTTGATGGAAGCAAACAATTGTAAGCACGTACCACTGTTTGGGTTCGTGTTTTTCATTGTCCGTAAGCCCGACATGTCCACATAAATGCAACAAAAATTGTTGAATGAAAATCATAGCAAGTGATTATGGAGATCGTGCTTTCACATTGTTATAGTTCTATCATGCTAAAACATCGATATCCATGACTGTACATGATTGAACATGTATGTTAAGTGAACAACTCTTTGAAGATTATAACACTCGCGGAAAGCTTATCGTTTGAACCTTGCATTGTGCTGTAACACCCCTCAATGTTACAACACATGCAGTGTTCTGTAACATTGTCAAACGATTTATTACATGCGATATAATTCAAAAATACCTAGATAAAAACAAGATAATTAACGAATGTCTCATGCAATATATTCTCTACTCAAATCTTGTCGATTTCATCCAAAAGGTTGTTTGATTATTACGGTAAGGCACTAAGGTTAATAAAAGACTATCGAGTTTAAAGATTTTGCAACATTCTGCCCGCATGTTGCAATATCAAATGACTTACCTCAATTATATATTAATATACAAAATATGATATATAATATATAATTCCTCGTCTTCATTGCAATCCTCGTCTCTTCATCTGCATCCTCCTTGTCTCTTCATCTGCATCCTCCTCGTCTCTTCATCGGTATCCTCTCCTCTTCATCTGAATCCTCTCTCCATCTGCATACACCTCGTCTCTTCATCTGCATACTCTTCTCTCCATCTGCATCCTCCTCTCTTCATCGGTATCCTCTCTCTTCATCTGCATCCTTCTCCCTTCATCGGCATCTTCGTCTCTTCATCTGCATCCTCCTCGTTTCTGCATTAGCATCCTCCTCATCTAAACGAAGTACCTAAAAATCAAGTTACGATTATGACAGGAAAAGTAACATACTTCTCTATATCCTTCTTGATCCTCCTTGTCCGTTCTTGATCCTCCTTGTCCATTCATTTTCATCCTCCTCGTCCCTTCATCTGCATCCTCCTTTTCTTTATCTGCATCCTCGTCTCTTCATCTGCATCCTCCTCTTCATCTGCATCCTCGTCTCTTCATCTGCATCCTTCTTGTCTCTCCGTCAGCATCCTCCTCTACTTTTCATCAGCCTCCTCCTCATCTAAACGAAAATCTAAAACAAGTTAAGATAAGGACAGGAAAAATAATAACGTACTCCTCTATCTTCTTCCTGATCTTCATCTCTTGTACCTAAAAAAAGACTGAAGAAGGAGTTATTTGTTTAATGGAAACAAACAATTGTTTAGCACATACCACTGCCAGAGTTCGCGTTCTTTCACTGTCCGTACGCTCGACACTGTACATGACTGAACATGTATGTTAAGTGAACAACTCTTTGAAGATTATAAGACTCGCGGAAAGCTTATCGTTTGAACCGTGCATTGTGCTGTAACACCCTCAATGTTATAACACATGCAGTGTTCTGTAACATTGTCAAACGATTTATTACATGCGATATAATTCAAAATACCTAGATAAAACAAGATAATTAACGAATGTCTCATGCAATATATTCTCTGCTCGATTTCATTGAAAAGGTTGTTTAATTATTACGGTAAGGTACGAAGGTTTATAAAACATCATCGCATTTGAAGATTCAGCAACATTTTGCCCCATGTTGCAATATCTTGTATACTCTATAATATATATTTGAGGTAATTCATTTGAACGTTTCTCAAGTGAATTACCCACTTTATCTCACCTACTATAACATCACTTGATGCTACAGTAGTTCCTCTCAGGAGCAGGGACGGATTAACCAAAGGAAGCTGTCTAGAAGCCTCCACAAACAAGGGCCTTCACATTATTCAAAGGAAGAATAAACATAGTTGCTTTAAAGACGAAGGAAAAGCATTTAGTTTATTTGTTGGATCAATTTCAGCTGATGAAGAACAGACCACGTATGACAACGAATCACAGTAAACTCAGCCATTTTGCTCTGATGAGCATTGAGGACAATATTCTAACAGAAATAAACTTGGAAGAACTTATCAAAGACTGCCAGAATAAAATCGCAATAACTACTTTATCTCAAGTAGCAGCATTCACTCGTCGTATGCAACCGCTTTACACGCTATATTCGAAGTTTATACTTTTATCAAATGCTTTACGAAATTTGAAAGTAAATTTTACTGTTGAAAATGAGCAGCACATTGCGTTTAGAGTAAGGGAAAGGGGATCTTTACTACGTATTTTTGCTGCTCAGAGCCTCCACACATCTTAATCCGGCCCTGCTCGGGAGACATAATATTATATCCTTTTGTCACAAAGACAAAGGATTGAACTTGCTATTTCTAACAATGGCCAGTTGTTAGAAATAGGCAAAATGCAAAATCATCACACTTATGTGAATGATAACGATGAATGCAAAAATGAAAATATTTTCTGGACATGTATTGAAGAGGTCCAATAATTGATGTCAAGAATAGTGGGAAACTTTTGGCAGTTTCGTTCGTGTTCTCACTTCAATATGTAACTGAAACTTGACGGCATTTTGTGCTCCAAGATCGAAACATAGAAATACTAAGAAACCAAAGAAATCGATCATTCCTTCGAACAAATAGGACTCATAACGATGCTTTGAATATGCTGTAACGAGAATTCACATCACAATTGGGTTATACATTTTAATTCATCGATCTCAAACTTACATCTTTATGTCATCGACGATTTTTCTGTATTTAACCTGCCGCTTTCAAACATGGCTAAAATATCTCAACCGTGTCATGTCTTCAGTTGCTCGTCCTTTCCAACAAGTAGTCGCATTTCTTGAAGGCTGTCTTCGACTTTCAACAGACTTTCACCTTTCCCAGACGAACAGCTCGGTCAAATAGGGTTATCGAAGTGAAAGACCCTACTTTTCTTCTGATAACTTTCATATATCACATGAATTAATTATTAATTCATTCGTCAATTTTGTTCAAACCATGATAAAAAGGGATTAAATTCATTGATTGCATGAAAATATATGCAGGGCAAAGACAAAAGGAATTAAGCCTGGTTATAAGTTAACTAACGACATTGGTTAGTAAAAGAAAGCAAAGCCTTTTCCCCAGAGGTTTGGAGAAAACAAAAGAATATTTCTTTTGTTTCCTCAATGAAGAGTTTGCGAAATCAATGATTGTAAGGTTATGACGGCAGACAGAGCATGTCGTGTTGTGGTAAATTTTATCTAGTATGAACAAAAAATTATCTCACCCAAAACCGCAATTCAATGCACCATAGCTAGGAGAGTTATCATTTTCTCCCACCTGACCACCTTTATTCAACTTGTTACGTCAACAAATAAATTAGAAGGCATATCAAAAGCTTGTAATTTATTCACGTGGGAATCACCCACATGTTATAGAAAAGCTTTTGTCGTGCTCAATACTTATTATGAACATTGGAGCCCTGCTTATTGCAATAATATGACTTGCCATTGTAAAATGTAATGTAATAATTTAACGAGAGAATTTTATTGACAGAACTAAATGGTAGCAAGTGATTCATTTTAGCAATCCTAATAGGATGGGACAAAGGGAAAGAATGAGAGGTAAGTTCGTTTTCAAATAATTATCTTTAGCGATGTAACGATAGCAGGACTTTCAAATGCGGTAAATGTTTTGTGGGAAAAGCGCGATTGTTTCTTTTCCGTGGTTGTAATCCTTAAAATTACATTATTAACAGTAAAACTGAACAAATTGAAAGTTATCTTTTCCTCTTATATTCCTTGTTCAACGAGTTCATTTCCTTGATCAAACCATGATGAAAATTTATCCAATCACATTTACATTAAAGTTTTTTAAACTTCAAGATTTCCCCACATTCATTTAGCTTAAATCCCGCATGATAAACGAATGATATCTCTAATCAAAGATGATCACGCAGTCTCCGATTTTTTAGGAATGAAAATAGGTTTTACGTTAATTGGTTTATGTTTGGCGTAAGGTGAAGCCGGTGATCCAACAATTAACACGTGATTACCCTTTAACCATAATCTCCACATGCTTTTATGAAATCCTCGAGCATCTAAGTCCCAGATTCGTAAACATCTCGCTATATTATTCCATGTTGTCCAGTCGTTAGCATGTTTCATTTCAATATAAAATATATATGTTTTATCAGATGTTTCTGGAACAAAGTCTTTCTCGTTCTTGCAAGGATTTTACTGTGATCCAACGGCTCTGCCAACCTGTAAAAAACAGTAGATAGACATCTCAACAATCAAATGACATAAATATACGCACTATGATGATAATTAGATCACTGAATCACTAAGTAGAAATCTCCTTCATTGTCCTGTGAAAAGAAAAATATTGTTGTCAATATTTTATAAAATCCTGCAAGACATACCCTACAAGCCGTTCAATCTCCTTCTCATAATTTTCTTTTTTCAACAATCCAACATTAAACTTAACGTTAGGTTCAGTATTCAACGTATGTTTTTTGAAATAGGATTCTTGAAAAAATACATTCATATTCAGGCCTTTGGCGCCAAAATGGTAGGTTCTTGAGATATCCGGAATGATACATTCACGTCCCTTTTTGTTGCTGTCCATCCTCATCCACATATCCCAATCCCAAAAGAGATCAGGGGTTGGCCATTTTGGCTCAAGTTCTTCTTTATACAGTCGTCGTTTGAGCAACCTGTTAATGCAAAGAGAAATAATAGATAGAATGAAGTTTATACTATCTATACATTTATAGTGCTGCGTGATGTCATTGTGGCGTGATGTCATTGCAGCGTGAGGTCATTGTAGCGTGATGTCATTGCAGCGTGATGTGCTTGTAGTGTGATGTCATTGTAGCATGACGTCACTGTTGCGTGATGTCATAGCGTAAACAAAATCATTTGTAGTAATAAAAATTCTCACCAGCCTAAACCAGGCATTGTTTCTACACGATATAACATTGCAGGATCATTACACGTGTGATCATAACCCCAAAAATAGAAATACTTGTTTTTGCAATTAAATCATTAATCACATAAATTAGTTTTTCAATGGATGTACCATTTCTAAGGTAAATTTCCTAAATTTCACTTTGTGATGTGCAAGGAAGGAAGCTCGATAAAGACAAACATAATGTAACCAATGAAAACTACAATAAGATAACAGATTCTTGTACGGAGATTTCCATTTTCCATTATAATGTGAAAAATATTTGAGATTTATTTAATTTACATTCTGCACTCTCGTCAGAGATAAACTGGACTCGACAAAAAAGCAAAAAGAATCAGAGACGTTCAAAACCACGTTAATAAAGTTGAAAACGAATTAAAATTTTGTTGTGTAGCAAACACAAGCCAACAATAGAGTAAAAGACTAAAAAGATGAAAAGAATGTTGTTAGCTTTCGTTTATAACAAACCTGATCATTCCACGCCGATATACAGTACAGACTTTCATCTGTATCCATTAAAGGCAAAAATTGATTAAAATAACTAAATATGTCCACAGATACGTCTAAATCTTCTTCCAAAATAATCATATACCCAGCATTGGGATAAGCATTAAACGTCTCTGTCAATGTTCGCTTGTAATGCTGGGAGGAAGAGAAAATACATTTAAAAAGTAATAAAAGGAACGAAAAAATTTTGATTACATCGTGTAAACACTCTCAAAGAAAAAGCCTTACCAACCTGTGATATTCTAGCGTTCTTACTGCTAATAGGAATATGCTGTACGACTTTTACATCATATAGCCTTGCCACAGCAGCTGGTTCTTCAAAGAATCCATCAATAAATACAGTAAATAACTCCTTCTTTGCTCCATGAGCTGACAACATTGACCGTAAGCCACGATAAAGATAATGTGGCCTGTTACTAGCAATCACAGCAACAGGAATGTCTTGAACTTTTCTAACTTCAACGGTGTTGTTTTAATTTCAATTGGAGCAGGATTATTACCTACAACATTTAAGAACATATTCTGTCAGTTCTTCATATCGTTCTAACATTAGCTGCAATAACAGTGATATCCTTATTTCTAC